GAGTTTGGTTGAGGGTGGGAAAATAGGAATTCGGCACCTGTCTCTTGGACTCTGTACATATGGTCCAGTCGTCTTGTCGACACTGGGGCTGACGAAGGTCTCTCCCATGGTGCCTTTGTGGCTTGCAAAAGGACTGTGGACATGGGTAATCCCAGAGTGGAAGATGTATCAAGCTGGACGATGTCAAAAACTGCATCCGTCACCTGCGGGTGTTGCTGGACGACAGAGAGGCCTTGGGAATGGGCCATTCTTTTGACAAGATCTGTGTACGACGTGAGATTGTTGGATGGGGAGATGGGTAAATCATCAGCGACAGCCTGGTTAGGAGACTTATGGTCAGGAGAGGTGTGAGCCTCAGATACTTCAGTATCGGAATTGTCTTCCATTGAATCAGAAGAGTCCTGGTGTGGCATTTGGACAGGAGTGTCCTCTTGACCAGTTGGAGGTCTAGGTGGAACGTCACAGGGGTTGGAATGACCGGGATTTGGATGACCTGAGTGTTAGGAGGACGACTGTGTTCCAAATTATGGTGGGAAGGATTGTCTGCAGGAGGACGAGACAGAGATGCTGAAGGTCTCGACCTGTAGGGCGATCTCGATCTATGAGCAGAGTGGGATGAATATCGATCCCAGTCGGAATAGCCCGCCGGAGTCAACCATGGCATGGATGGTGGATAAGCCCCATACAGATACCTCATCTGCTGTTGATCCCAAGACAGAGGTGGGGGGGGTAAGAAGACTCGGAGGGTATCGACTTCTGGACCGTGGATGTCTCGGAGACAAAGCGGCAGCCTGTCTTGTTTGCGGCCTAGAGGCATCCTGGTCCTGAATTATTTAGTACATGGATGAAAGTAGACTGCAGCAGTTCAGCGGTATGGGCAAGGCACTTTGTACATGCTCAAAGGTATTTTTCTTACAAGTTTGTCAAAGTCCATGTGGGGCCTGGAGATCTTCCAGAATTACAGGTGATCTCTGGACTACAGAGATCAATTTCCCTGGATGAAATGGCAGCGGACACACTGTCATTATACTCTGCTGAGGTCCCTCCCCTCCCCAAACCCCACCCTTCCCAGGATCCATCCCAAATTTCCAGGAATTTTCCAACAAGAAGTTGGCAATCCTACTTAGAAGAGAAGAAGAGGAGATTGGATTTATACCCCGCCCTTCACTACCCAAAGGAGTCTCAGAGTGGCTTACAAACTCCTTTCCCTTCCCCTCCCCACAACAGGTAGGTGGGGCTGAGAGAGCTCTGACAGAAACGGCTCTTTTTCAAGAACAGCTGTGCCAGACTATGGCTTGCTCATGGTCATCCAGCAGGTGCAAGGGGAGGAGTGGGGAATCAAACCTAGTTCTCCCAGATTAGAGTCCGCGCACTTAACCACTACACCGAACTGGATTCAGCCCCAGTGTTGAAACCATACCTATAAACTAAGCCTACTTTTGACAGAAAGTAATTAATTCCAAAGAGAAAAAACAAAGGGTTAGCCATGTCAGCCTACTACAACAAATCTAAAAAGCAGTACCGTATTAATGAATAAGATTAGTTGGAGCACATACTTTATAACTACAACTTATTTTAGTAGGTGCATGAAGTGGATCCCCAAGCAACAGATATAACTACACATATGCATACAGAGGTGGGAAACTGTGAACAGTTGGGTTCAAAACCAAAAACTACAAGAGGTTCGATTTGTAACATTTCTATGGCAACACACTTAAAAGGACAATGGTATCTGTTTAAACCCTAGTTAACACAATTCAATCTGCTGTTAAATTCTAGTATAGCAATAATTTATTCAACAGTTATCTATGCCAGTGGTTCTAAACTTTAGCCACGCAGGGAACCCCCTTTTAGATTTAAAAATCATTCAGACCCCAGTCCTTTCCTTCTTCTTCACCTCCTTTCACTTCCATCCTCTAGCATTCTCAAAACAGTACAATAAGAACCACATCGCCTAGACTTCCGGTCTATGGAACAGCGATGGCGGACGCTCTCCCCACAATGGGGAAGAGCGAATCGCACACCAGCGGCCTGGAGGGGTACCACCTCAAGTGACACCCCTGCGGAGCCTTTGTAATAGGCTCCAGGCCAGGGGGCTTTTGAGGGGTAGCCTCTCTGATGGCGCAATGCCGGAGAATTGAGGCTTCCCTCCGCCCTGATGGTCCAGTTGCTGAGTGGCCTTCGGGCACAAGCTGGACTGTCCGGGACAAGCGCTGGAGATCGAGCGGAATGGTGAACAACCGAGCACGGTCAGAAATTGACCGACAATGAATGTGAGTTCTGGAAAAACGGAGTAGTTTGAAAAGTGACCGCAAAGAGGGACGCCTCTTATGTGAATGAACGGATAATGGACACGAAAGGGGAGAGGGGAGGAAATAAACCGAAAGTGTTTTGAGAGACTTATCTGAATTGCGAAGTTGTTTGGCGAGTTTTCCGAGTTACGTGGAAGCGGTTGAAACTGTAAACAAAATCGAAAGATGGTGGCCCAGCAGAGAAAGTTTAAAATGAAGCCGGGCAGTCAGAGTCCGAAACCTGAAGAGGGAGCAGATGTCTACAAACTCCTGGCGGATATGCTTAAGCCGGTGATGGAACAACTCGACGGTATTAACCAGCAATTGAACGTAATGAATAAAAACTTTGCAGCACAGAGAAAATAAAAGAGATAGACACCACAAGCAAGAAGTTGAAGAAAAGGTTGGGAGATGTGGAAACGAAGCAGAATTGCCAAGAGAATCGAGTTTTGCAGCTGCAGATGGAAAAAGCCAACATGATTCTCAGGTTTCAGGGAGTTCCTGAAATGGATCGGGAAGACTTGAAGAAGGTGCTCAGTGAGATTATCGCTCCAGTAATGGGCTTAACAGCGGGAGAGCTTGTAAACGAAATGGAGTCAGCCTATAGGGCATACTCCAATTACATTAAAAAAATAGCCTACCTGGAGAAATAGTGGTCAGGTTTTCAAGAAGACAAACTAGAGATGCCATTCTAAAAGCAACATCAGCAACTCCAGTGAAAATGGGAAATGTAATCATTAAAACGTTAAAGGACATTCCATTTGAAATCAGACAAAAGAGGAAAAATTACAAGGACTTAATTTCTTTTCTTCAAACTAATGGAATATCGTACAGATGGGCGGTCCCGGACGGTGTCATCTTTAAGATCAACGATAGAAGAGAGAAGATAGATTCCACTTTTAAAGCTAAAGAATTTTTGAAACGTCAGCTGGGGACAGATGATGAGTCTACAGAGGGAGAATCGAAGTCTAGTGACTCTGCTACCTCAGGAATGGAAGAGGATTCTGCGGCAGAAAAGGGTGCAGGACCTGCCAGAGTGGTATACGATTTTAGAGACAGAAAGCCGAAGTAAAGGCAGAGGGACTTGGAAAATGGCCTTCTGAAGCGAAGAATAAGAAGATGATCAGAGATTTTTCTCATAACAACTAACAAAATAACATAAATAGAGAACTGTTATAAGCAAGAACTCTACAAGTATATTGTGATAGTAAAACTAATTGTACTAACATTTTTACTAACAGTGAAAAGATCTCCTCTTGGGGTTTTAGTTTAGTGTGGTTTGCTTTCCTTTATCCTTAGTTGTAGTCCCTTCCCTAATATTTCTTTGTAGTTTTACTAGTATTTGCAAAATAAAAAATATCCCCCCGGGGATTTAAAAAAAAAAAAGAACCACATCGCCTACACTTTACAAGCAAGTGTAACAATTGTGTACACTGCTTATAAGGTCAGATCTCAGACTGCAGCTGATTCTATAGAAGCACAGCTTAAAAGGCCCTTGCTCAAGTTCTAATCAGTCTCATCCCTTGACTCTGTGACAGACACAGCATGAAACATCCTTATCCGTCAATACCTTCTAGAAAGATGGCAGCTGAACAGGAGCAGGAAGGAGCCTGGGAAAACTTTCAGATCTGCTCACAGAAATACTCCCCCCCCCTCACAGAAATACCAAAACCAGTGTCAGACAACCCCTGAACTTCTGATGTTCAACTGAAAACTGTTACTTGGCTTTTATCGTCTGTAGATGCAGAGCAATCTTGCTCTGTGTGCGTGCGCTGAAATCCATTGTATTGGTAAATACAATGAAAACCAGTTAAATTTCATACCAGAAATAGCTATGAAAACTGCATTAGGACTGTACCTCCTTGGTGCCACTCAGCCAATTAAGAGTTCCTATGGCTGAACTATTGGATCCTGACAACTATTTTCTAGCTAGTGCTGAGGTGATTTGAAAGCCAGGCAACTGCAGGCTACAAGTTCCTGACCTTTGAAAGAGGTGGAAGCTAAGTCTACCTCCTTCTCTCAAGGTGAAGAGTCCCTGCTCCTATTCCTTTCTCTCTGTACTTATAAAGGATATGTGAACCCCTAAGGGTCTATCAACCCTGAGAAATATGACCTATGCTACAATTATCTGCTGGTCTTTGCAGCACCACAAAACCCATTTTAGTATATATGGAAGAAGAGCTATTGTAACACCAATTAAATGCATTCTTACATGAAGCTATGATCCCTTCCAATGAATTAATATGTTATTTTCCATGAACTGATATTGTTATGTTTAGGAACGTATTGGGGGGGGGGGAGGTGTGACTGCTTGAACTGGCACTGTATCTGCTTTGAACAGATAGACGCAAATCCTTCCATCACATTTAGCCTGGCCCTCAATAACTAGGAAATCCAGCAGAGGAGGCACACTTGTAGGTAATACTTCAAGTAGGTTTCTAATACTTTATTAAATAAAAATAGAAAACCCACTCCTAGCACACAAGAAATTTTGCTTAAAAATTCAGCAAATCAAAACTCTTACACAGTAATGATATAAATCAAAGACAGAAAGTCAATTCATTCCTACAACGATCAAGAGACATACCTTCTCCTAAAACCTAGGTATAACGCAGCCTGCATAGACAAGATTTTATTCCCCTTTTCTAAATGTTTGATTTACAGCAATTAGACACCAAGGAAAAAAAATTATGAAAGCACTTTCTTTACCATTATTGTTCCTCCTGTTTGTGTTCTTAGAGGTCTTAGCACCTTGCGCTGGACGAGGAAATTGGGCAAAAAGAGAACAGGTGGAATTTCTGTGATTGCAGCCACAGCAAAGGACCACTACAAGAAAAAACACAATTAGGATTTAGGGTATTCATATCACCACAGGAAAACAAAACACATGAATGTAAACAAATTAGATTACTACAAAAAGCACCAATGAATTCCAGGAAAAAATGTTGGTGAGCAAATGAGAACAGCAGATTAAATGACTATATAATCTGTAATTGAGATCATTGGTCTTAGAAAGAATATAGCTTTTGCCATTTCATCTTTTTTGTATTCTTATGTCCAACTGTGACCCAAGAACATCTGAGCCCCCTCCCCCCCAAAAAACTTTTAAAGCATGCATTTAATGGTGCTAAACATTTAACTGTGCTTACTACTGAAACACTTTTAATATAGCCCTTAGACCATCAAGTTCGTACTAAATTACATATGTGATAAATAGTTAGAGGCTAAATTCAGACATCATAATAAACCATGGTTTATAAATCACAGTTTGATTAAACTCTGTCGTATCATAATGTCCAGATGCAGGCTACCTGCACTATGATTTACTGATGACTGCTACTCTGGAATTCTAAACCACAGTTTGTACTTACTTTATGAATGTGATTTCTGAATTCTGCATCTTGGATGCAGAATTACACAGAAAACAGGGGGAAAGTCTCATAATTCCAGCAGCACTCTACTATCAATGACTCTCAGGATATACTCTTCTTTGCTTCCTTTCCACACATCTGCTTCTTTTCTAGTGATAACTCATCAAGGAGGACTTTGTATTTCCTACCTCTCCCCCAAAATAGCAACTAACCAGCAGTCATGAACCATAGGTATATCTGGTAGATTAACCAGGGTTTCTGCACAAAACTATGGTTTATCAAGATGTTTAATTACAGGGTTAGCATAAGCTTTGTATGTTCAGACATGAGTTTTAATCAATAGTTTTAAAAATAAAAATGCTGTCCCAGGGCTTGACAAACCCAGGTGCCAGGTCGCCATTGTCCCAAAAAATTTCATTGTCACGCCTACTATTTTCAACAGTGATTTTATTGTCACTCAGTGATCCTCAGGAGAAGCAGAAACTTATCACTTCACATCAGAATATGATTTGCTGTATGACATAAAAATACATACACATGAAGTTCTTGTCACTGTTTATATGTTAACTAGGAATAAAGCCCGTTGTGGAAATAAATACAACGAAATCTAGAAAGAGGCTCTGGGGGAGTGCTCTGGCTTTGGGCAAACAGTGTCAATTTGCTGTGGTGACCTCAGCAGGGTATAATGACAGATTCCACTGTTTTCTCCAGAGGAACTGATCTCTGCTACCTGAAGAGCAGTTGTAATTTTGAGTGATCTGTAGCCCTTACCTGGAGATTGGCAACAATTGTTACCCAGGACGAAATGGCTGGTTTGGAGGGTGGAGTCTATGGCATTCTACCTGTCTGAGGTCCCACCCCTCTGCAAACCCCACCCTCTCCAGGCTCCACCCCTCAAATCCCCAGGAATTTGCCAGCCTGGAGTTGGCAACCCCATCTCCTTCCCAGCTAACCATCTACCTTCCATTATCTGCCCCTTTGACTTCAGCTGACTTCTGCCCTCCCTTCTGCAGAGCAGTTTTGATTCTGAGTGGTCTCCAGCCCTCACCTGGAGATTGGCAACAATGGTTCCCCATGAGGGACTGACTGGTTTGGAGGGTGGAGTCTATGGCATTATACCTGTCTGAGGTCCCACCCCTCCTCAAACCTCGCCCTCTTCAGGCTCCATCCCTCAAATCTCCAGGAATTTCCCATCTGGAGTTGGCAACCCTATCAGGACTGGCCCCAATGTGGTTTTTTCCCCAAAGGCCAAAGTAGGTGACAGGACCAAACTTAGTTGCCTACCAACAGGCACTGAGGGGAATGTAGGGTTGCCAGCCCTAAGGAGGGAAATACCTGGAGGTTTGGGGGGTGGATGCTGTAGAGGGCCGGGCGACGGAGGCATCGGCCTTCTG